ACGACGGTAAATCTCTCTCTCTCTCTCTCTTTCAATCGATCTCTCTCGCCCTTCTTCTCCCGGCGCTTTATGCTCTCAGCAACGGCTTGGAGGCGGCGAAAGCAAATGCAGGCAAGGTAAGGAGGGGAGGGGCGAGGCTCTTTACGTATTTATGCAGGGGTAAGACGAAACCGCTGGGCGATGAAATCGGGGAAGTTTCCCTAAGATCCGGCGCATATAATCTAGATCCGATCTGACGGTTATGTCCCATCTTCTCCACATTTAATCGCGCTGACGGTTATGTCCCATCCACTGACACCACGTCGCGCAGCAACGGCAGCTCCCGAGAAGACCGCCTCAAAAGACGCGCCGTTGTCAGCCGATGGAAGGGAAATACCCCCTAGCCAATTCCTTCCGAGCTAAGGAACCGGGCGCCGAGCCCGCTACGGTCCAGAGGTTCGAAGGCTGGGCCATTTATGGTCTTGATAGCCGCCTCAGGACGATAGAGTCAGCGACAACTATGGGCGAGCCCGTACATGGCCGAGGCCTAGGCAAGCGATTGCTTGGGATGCCCTAAGTCGTGTCCGAGACCAGCAGGAGTTCTCTAAAGGGGATCCCACCGTAGGGAGGCACCGAGCCCCTAGGGCCAATCGAACGCCCCACACCCGCTAGAGAAGCCTTCGGTACTTTTTGGAGCGCGTCTCGGACCACTAGCCGACCCCTATCGAATGGGGCACGGGCCTCCACTCGGACTTACCCGATAAAAGCTCACCGGAAATGTCACCGCTTCGCGCCACCGAGGGTAGCTCGCATGTTCCACCCCTCCTTCCGAGCGAAAAAAGGGATGCGCGAGGGTCGCATAAAAAGCCGGGGAACTCCTAATCGCCTCTCTCGCTCCACGCGGAGGCTCGGGGCTCTTCCTCGCAACCTTGCTTTGAGACCCAATGACCTAGACTCGCACGCAAAGGGGCTCGAAGAACAACCCCTCCTTCCGAGCGAAAAGGATGCGTGAGGGTCGTACAAAAAGCAGGGGAACTCCTGATTGCCCTCTCGCTACGTCGCGGAGGCTCGGGGCTTCCTCCTGTAACCTTGCCGAGACCAGCCGAACTAGGCTCGCCGCGAAGGGCTCGGCAAACAACCCCTCCTTCCGAGCCGGTAAAAGGATGCGCGAGGGTCGTACAAAAGCCGGGGAACTCCTGATCGCCCTCTCGCTACGTCACAGGCGGAGGCTCGGGGCTCTTCCTGTAACCTTGCCGAGACCCAGTGAACTAGGCTCGCACGCCAAGGGCTCAAAGAAACAACCCCTCCTTCCGAGCGAAAATGATGCGCGAGGGTCGCATAAAAAGCTAGGGGAACTCCCGATCGCCCTCTCGCTTTCGTCATGGAGGCTCGGGGGCTCTTCCCCGCAACCTTGCCAAGACCAGCGACCTAGCCTCTCGCACGCAAAGGGCTCGGCAAACAACCCCTCCTTCCGAGCGAAAAAGGATGCGCGAGGGTCGCATAAAAAGCCGGGGGAACTCCCGATCGCCTCTCGCTACGTCAAGGAGGCTCGGGGCTCTTCCCTGCAACCTCTCACACCCCGACGGTCGGAAAAACGCGTGATTAAAAAAGGCACCAAGCCCATTACAATCCAGGGGTACGAAGGCTGGGCCATCCAGGGCCTCGACAGCCACCCCAAGACAACAGAGTCAGGGACAACTATGGGCGAGCCCGTACACGGCCGAGGCCCAGGCAAGCGATTGCTTGGGATGCCCTAAGTCGTGTCCGAGACCAAAGCAGGAGTTCTCTAAAGGGATCCCGCCAGGGAGGCACCGAGCCCCTAGGGCCAATCGAACGGCCCTAGCACCCGCTAGAGAAGCCTTCTGGTACTTTTTTTGGAGCGCATCTCTGGACCACTAGCCGACCCCTATCGAATGGGGCACGGGCCTCCACTCGGACTTACCCGATAAAAGCTCACCGGAAATGTCACCGCTCATCATACCATCGAGGGTAGCTCGCATGTTCCACCCTCCTTCCGAATAAAAAGGATGCGCGAGGGTCGTATAAAAAGCCGGGAACTCTTGATCGCCTCTCGCTACGTCATGGAGGCTCGGGGCTCTTCCCGCAACCTTGCCGAGACCCGGCGCCTAGGCTCGCACACCACGAAGGGCTCGGCAAACAACCCCTCCTTCGAACGAAAAGGATGCGCGAGGGTCGCATAAAAAGCCGGGGAACTCCCCGATCGCCCTCTCGCTTCGTGCGGAGGCTCGGGGGCTCTTCCTGCAACCTTGCCGAGACCCAGCGGCCTAGGCTCGCACACGAAGGGCTCGGCAAAAAACCCCTCCTTCCGAACGAAAAGGATGCGCGAGGGTCGTACAAGAAGCCAGGAGAACTCCTAACCGCCCTCTCGCTCCGTGCGGAGGCTCGGGGGCTCTTCCTGCAAACCTTGTCGAGACCCAGCGACCTAGGATCGCACGCGAGGGCTCGGCAGGCTCGGGGCTCCTCCGCACTTTTAAACGAAAACAAGCGACCCGAGCTCGCTCTCATGGGTCTAGCGAATGCGATAGAGCGCCTTACTCAACGAAGAAAAAGCTCCTAAAGGAGTAAACTCACTCCTCTAAGGCCTCGGAGGCTACACCCGGCGGGTGCGCTCGTGCGCACCCACCAGAATCGCGAGTATAAAACAAACCCGACAAGAGCCACTGAGAAACAAAAGTCTCGAAAAAACCTCGGGGAGAGTATCCCACACTCCCGCCCGAGGCTCGGGGGCTACTGTCGGATACCAGAAAATGGGGTACCCCAAGCAAAGATCGAAAAAATGCTTAGACCCTAAGAATGTAACCAATGGAATAAACAAACAAGGTCTCGGCTGAAATCTCCGATTCGCCCGAGACCCGTCACCGAGCCCCAATGAAGCGAACGATTCTCGACTACCGAGACCGCCTCGCCGAGGCCCCCTCGTCGAGGCCCCTCGCCGAGGCCTCGGAAGAAGTGCCGATTCTCCGATTCACAGAGAGGCCGGCTCGGCACTAGCCCGTGACCGCCTCTTCGACCAAATCGCTCGACCAACGTCGCATCCAAGCGCCCAACCACTCCGACAAACGCATACGATAGCACAAGTCAGAAATGGTGACCAACTACACGCCAGTCGCGTCAACCTCCTGCCATCTGCGATGGCACAGAGCAGGGGTTACCGACCACCGTGGTCGCTTAACTCTCTGCGCCAAGGACATCGCAACGTGGGGAGTCGAGAATAGGTTCCTCGTAGCCTCGGAATCGGCGGACCGACCGCTCCGGCTCGCTGAGCCCCTCGGCAGGCCTCGGATTCACTAATCTTACTCGCCTCCCCGTCCCCTCCCCAGACCCCCGGTAGAGGGCTCTCGGACGAATTGGCGGCGCCCGCCTTCTTGAGGCCGGGCTCGTCCCGCAACCTCGTCGCCTCCGCCTCAAAGATCTCTCTGGCAGGCTGTCGCATCCAATTAATGCGCCCAGCTGCACCCGCTACGTAAGCCACGATCGGCAGTGCGCTGCAACATGAGCGACGGGACAACGGTCAGATCACCTTTTTTACCATCCCTTACTGACAATACAGGTACCGTATCCTGTAGGCGCACGTCTCGCACTATTCCGCCGATGGCGGCGAGACCCGCATACGCACTGGTCACTTCTCGTGCCTCGAGACGGCAGCCCTCGGCTGGCAGCCTCGGCACGACCGGCTACGATGGCCGCCGAGCCTCTGCAATCCACCAAGTCAACAAATGCGCAACATGTTACTTGCAGTGGAGACCATACCGATTAGACATCTACGGAAACTCCCACGACAACGCCATGCTGCTCCAGGAGTAAATACGTCATCGAATAGTCCGCTCCACGTGTAGCTCTCTTATGTACTCCTGGTTTCCTCCCTGCGGCTATAAAAGGAGGCGGCCAGGACCGTTTCTAGGGACGGCGGGTAGAGTCATGAATACTCGCATGAACAACACGCCTCATTCTGTAATTCATATCTCCTCCCCTCACAGAGACCTGGGACGAACTCCCTCTCTCGCCTAGCTTGTAACCCCCTACTACGAGCATCCCGGTGCAAGAAATATAAGAACATCTTCTCAGACTGGACGTAGGGTATCCATTATCCGAACTAGTATAAACCTTGTGTCTCTTTGCATCACCATCCGGAATTGGGAGCACGCAGCACAAATTCACTAGTCGGTTAAAGACCCCCAGTTCCGAAACACCGATAAATAGATAGATCTCGTATAACCTCTACCATCTAGCCTTGTTGATTAGCCATCAAGAGTTTAAAAACTAGAAAAGAATATAGAAAGAATGAAACAATCGGCAAGGCTAGAGGGATATCTGCATGGTGAGATTATTCAAAAGGTCAAATAAGAGTTATCAGAGGCTTGATGCAGGTGGTAAGAAGCGCGAAGCAAGTAACAAAAGCAGGAAATACAGATGTTGTGATGTAGATATAGGCTTTCTAGACTTCAGCAAGGGGGGGCATTGTCCACTTTGGCTGTGCTATAGCTCCGCCAGTGGAGGACATCTCCATCAACTTGTTTAAAAAATTGCTACTAATCTATTTAGACATAAGACCTGGAGCTCTACGTCACGTGCCTTAATTGTCTACCAGATCTCAGTTAGGTAAGTTCTATACCATATATGCATACGGCGCCTAAACATTTACCTCATGCGTTACTTATCTTGGTGCCAAGCTTAAATCTATTTTTACAAATGATTTTCTAGAATTCTAAAATGTGAAATTCTTATGGAGAGATGGCTAAAAACAAAATTCGGACGAAACCACCTCGGAGACTGGCATTCGAAAAACCGCGTAAACGACAAAAGAAAATATTTCTTTCGAAAAAAAACTCGAATTCTGCGAACACACGCTCCTCTCCTTGGAGGCACCCCGACATCACCTCACCCCACCACGACCTCCGTCCTTGAAGTTGAAGCCGTCAGCACAGACCCAAACCTCGTCTCTCCTCTCCCGACTCCGGCGCCTCCATTCCGTCGCTGCCGGAGGCGTGCTCGATCCGGCCATGGATGACTCTGTCCTTTTCAATGACCTCGGTCCCTCTAAGCCCCCGTCGGCCTCTTTCTACGACGATATGTTCGACTCCTACTTCAACGACGCGGACGAGGCCCCCGAGCCCTCGCCTAAGGCTTCTTCCTCGCCGTCGACGCCGCCGCCCGTGTTCGACAAGCCGGTCTTCGACGACGATCCTGACACGGCCGATCCATTCGACGCGATCCCCTTGTTTGGAGGCGGCGGTGGCGGGGAAGGGGAGGACTTCCTCGGTGGCGTCGGGAGCGCGGCAAAGCCGGAGAGGAGGGAGTCGGAGGCGGTGGGTTTTGATGAAGACTTGCTCCCTGGGTTGGGTGGGAGCACCAATTCGACGGAGGAGCCGGTCAGGGAGGTGGAGCGGGACCGTCAGCCGGTGGGGTTCGACGATGATTTGGTCCCTGGATTTGATAGGAGCATGAAGCCGGCGCCGCAAATGGAGCCTGTGGCGTTTGATGATGGTGTGATCCCTGACATTGGTGGAGGCACGAGCCATCCCTATTCGGCAAGGTCTGAGAGTCTTCTAATTCAAAATTTCCATTTAGTTTGCATTTATCTATGTATTTTCTGCATACTTGATTTATTATTTAGAAGGTGAGCTTGGATGGGTTATGGGTAAGGTTTTAGCTGTGTTGTTACAACCATCGAATTGACAAATTATGCTCCATCCTGGGTAAGCTAGATTCTGGAAATGAAGTCCTGTCCAAGTTTTTAAAAGTTTTGGACTTTTGGTGCTTAGATTCTGGGTCTTTTGATGCAATGCCACAGAAGCATAATTCAAACAGCAGGAAAGAATGGGGAAAGTAAGCCATAGTGACGTGGATGAAAGATTTCAAGTGAATAACTGCAAGAGAAAACATGAAAACTTATAGTTGAACCACTGCTCCCCTTCCCCCCCAACCCTGTTCCTCTGCACGCACGATGGGTAAAGATATAGCCTTGTTCGCTTGAACTTATCAGCCTGGCTTGTCAGCCATAGTGCAATGTTTTTCTCTCACAACAAATCAGCGAACAATACTTTTCAGCCTGGCTTTTCAGTATGTTCATTTAATAGCGCTGATTTCGGAAACAGTTAGAGAGATTCTGTGTTGAATTTGTCCACTGGTTTGAGGGTTTGTTTGCTGATATGTTCTCTTGACGTTGACTTGATATTTATTGTTTTCTAATATAATTTCTAGGCATCTTTCATTTTCAGAACTTTTGGGAACATTATGAGTTCTGGCTTTTGCATGCCACTCTTCCTTTTGCAGTAGCGAGCGTTCTTGTTCTAGTTCCTATGATAAATTGAATCTAGGCTAATCACTTGAGACTCTGAACTGACGTGTCATATTTCTTCCATTATATCCATTATTAGATCCATATTGGTTGTTTGGATGCTTTGTTCACCATTAAAGATGATTTTGTCTATGACAATGCAAGATCTTCAAATGTCTGTGCCTTATGGTCGGATCATACTTTATTTGAAGAAGTTGCAGGTGCAATTTAATGCATAGCAGAAAATTGTATGTGGCATCCTGTATCTAACTAGAAGTTGGAACTGGAGGAAAACTGGTTATTCAGGCCACGTGTCCTATCGTTGCTCATTAGCTACCTTTTATAGCAATGAACCCTTCGTATGATATTGTATTTTACTTGCCTGTTTTATTGCTGGTTTGGAAGTGAGTAGTTCACTAAATGCATCATAACTTCATGATTGTGCTAATGCAAGTTCACTTTCAATTACTTTCCTATCTGGTTTTCCCCTTCTGGTGGTTCCTGAGAGCTACGTTGTCGATACGTGTTGTGTTGTGTTGACCTGTCTAAATTCTATCACTTTGATTTTAATCATTGACAGCATATATGACTGCTTGTGGGAACTGTTAAGAATCAAATGCAATATAGTTGTCTTTGTGATAACCATATGAGTTATTCTTCTCTTGTTTGGTGATCAGTTGTGACTGAAATATATACAGGGAGGAACCTATAATAAGGCAAGAAAGTGAATCAATTTCATCCAGCAAAATGAGTAGCACGCCAGAAGATCCTTTCGTCATTTTAGGTGGTACACACAGATCGGGATATTCATCTTTTGGATTGTTTTCAGATCCTTTGAATAACATCGGCATGCCTGTGAAGGAAGGGAACACAAAAGTTGATGCGCCTGATAATACCAGTGGGATATTTCAGGGGTCTGATATCTTTACTGACTTTCCAAAAGCCATGCCACCCTTTTCGTTTACATCTGAAAACCAGAGTGATATAAATGAAAGGAGATATGCTGAAAACATAAATAGCATGAGTCTCTCTGATCGGGTGCCTCAGGAGAAGCCAGTCCAACAAGCTTCAACAGAAGCACCTGACAATAAATTGTTTGAGATGAACTTCCCCTGAAGCATCTGTTATCCGTGAAGTACCTGTTACCACTGGTTTTCAGACATTAAACCCATTTGCTGGGGAAGACGATTTGTTAGAGGCAAATCAATCTTCACAGAGGCCTAATGATGTGTGGGTAACTGTTTCTGATATTGCTCTAGTGACACTACCTAGAAGTGCACCGCCTCCTTCACGGCCGCCACCTCCACTTGCTGCTAAGAAACCACCTACTGAATCTGTAAATCGTAATCAAGGCTACCATCACTCCGCATGTTCAAACACTTCTAAAACATCCCAAATTGATGAATTGGAAGATTTTTTCATGGCAAAGCCTGCTAATTTTGCCAATGGTCATCCACAAGTTCTAAAGCATGAAGGAAACGGGCATTATCCATCTGCAGCTACTGCAAGTTTCATGGACTGGACTGAGATGGGACACTCTAAAGGGGGGAACCAAGGGGCATTTGATTCTATGTTCACCAGCAATCAATATAGACAGCCAGAAATAGATGAGAAAGCAGAAGTATGTGCTCATGAAATGGAAACCACAGATGAAGAAGAGAGATTAGAAAATGAACGAATACAAAGAGAACATAAAGAGGAGCAAAGAAGAGCAGAAAGGGAGAGGGAAGAACAGCTTGAGAGGGAAAGGGAAAAGGTGAGACAAAGGGAACAAGAGGAGCAGAGGAGGCGTGAAAAAGAGAGGGAGGCCAGGCAAGCTGTAGATAAGGCTGTACGGGAGGCACGTGAAAGAGCAGCTGCTGAAGCACGCATGCGAGCTGAGAAGGAGGCTCGTCAAAGAGCAGAGCGAGCTGCCGTATGGAAAGCAACAACAGAAGCTCGTGAGAGAGCTGCAGTCGAGGCAAGGGAAAGAGCTGCAAAGGCTGCTGCAGAAGCTAAGGAAAGAGAAGCAGCAGAGGCTAGAGAAAGGGCTGCAGTAGAATCAAGGGAAAGGGATGCCAAAATTGCTGCAGAAGCAAAGGAAAGAGCTGCCAGGGCTGCTGCTGAAGCTAGAGAAAAGGAAGCAGCAGAATTTCAGGAGAAAGCTGCTGCAGAAGCTCGGGCAAAAGCTGAGCGAGCTGCTGTTGAGAAAGCTGCAGCAGAAGCACGAAGGAGGGCTGAAAGAGCAGCTTTCGAGGGTTGCTGCTGAAGCTCGGCAAAGGGCTGCTAATGAAGCTAGAGAAAGGGCTGCAGCTGAAGCACGGGCAAGAGAAAATCAGCAAAGGAGAGCAACAGCAGAACCTGATCTCGAGTCATTCTTTGGCATGCCTTCTAGATCAAGCAGTGTACCGAGATCATACAACAACACAACAACGGTGAGAACTGAGCAACTGCATGAGTTATTTTGTAGGGAAATTTTCCGTTTAACTTTGTTTTCTCTGATACTTTTAAAATTTTCAGAATCCTTTCGATGTTCAGCCTCATGGCAATGCTGATTCTGGTGGTGTAAGGACATCTTCCAGTTCAGCTTCTTCCTTTACTCAGTCTTCGTCAAGCAATCTTATGGATGGCCTATCTTCTATATTTGGAGGTACTATTTAGTATTTGAATGCTATTATTATTATTAGCAGTGTTTCTGAGCTATCTTAGAAACTAATTTACGCAAATCAATTATAGCACATGTTGATTAAAGATGCCAATCAATGTTTCTAGTCGTGGAGATAGGGGTGGTCACAACTCAGGCTCTCTACAGCGTTTAAAACTAATGTTTTTTTAGTACAGAAGACTACCTTAGCATACTTTGAGTGTATGAAGCACTAACCTTGTTTAATATTTTTCATATATAGCACCTTCATCATCTGCTGTATTTCAAGAAGTGGATGGAGAGAGTGAAGAAAGAAGGAAGGCAAGACTGGAACGACACCAAAGAACGATGGGGCGTGCGGTATGCTAACTTATAATCAATTTGCAACCACCTGTCATTTAGTAATTATAAAAGTAACATATTGATTTCAAAAAGGCAACTATATCTGTTCATATGATATTTTTCAGGCAAAAGCTCTTGCTGAGAAGAATGAGCGTGACTTGCAAGCTCAGCGGGAGCAGGAAGAGCGACATGTAAGCTCTATATCTTATCATAACGATTCTGGACTTTAAGTAGATAAATGAATTAGACAGTTTGTTTTTTTGAGGTAATGTGGTTTCTCTTTTCAGAGAATTGGTGAATCACTTGATTTTGAGATAAAGAGGTGGGCTGCTGGCAAAGAAGGCAACCTACGGGCCTTACTATCAACATTACAATATGTTAGTACCCTGTTTCCAGTGTAGATATATGATTTTGTGCCCCTTTTTCCTTGGAAATATGTTTTCTGATTGCAGTCGCTGCATGTTTGATGGAATCTTGCCTAACTTAAATGGGGTGTTAGTGCTCATTAGGGAGAAATTACACCTTTGGTGTTTGGCTGGGGCTCGTGGAGTTTCTCATCTCCTTGCCCTTGCACCAAGTGACAATTTCTCTTATATATAATGATACCCAGCTCTCCTGTGTGTTTGAGAAAAAAGGCTCCTTGCCATATCTGTTGTTAAGTTCCAGTACTTATTTTCTTTGCAATAAAGGCACTTATGGAAATATTGTTATTGTCAGTTTAAACTTTTGGGCACATGGAATTTGAGGTAATGTATACTAGGAGATAGTTAATATATGCTTTTAGTAGTAGACCCTTAGTAGGGTTGACCGTATCCCCCCCCCAAATTGTTCAAATGATCACATAAATCAGGCCCGGTGGCACAGTGAATATGATCCCAGGTGTCAAATGTAGGGATGGCGTTGGGTCGGGTAAGGTGTGGGTGGAATAAATACCTGCCTACGATAAATTGCCTATCAAGTAAAATTTCATACCCATGGATAAAATTTTGTACTGCACCTACGAGTACGATACCGCACGCAGATCCGCACCCATAAGCTTGATTATCACTAGAATTGGAATTCTTTGTATTTTTAGCACTAATGGATGAAGTGACATACCCGCACATATCCGTGGGTAGAATCTTGTACTGCATGCGCAGTGGGTAGATTTTGTACCCACACCCACACACATCGGTAACGATACTGCATGGTAGGATTGGCCATCCCTACAAATGCCTTTGCTGAAACTTTTCAAATTGGTTTTGAACGTCCCTAGCTCATACTCCCTCCATTTTAAGATATAATGGAGTGAAGCCTTTTATTTTGCATATGCATTAAGAAGGTGAAGATCTGGAAGAGAGACAGAAGGCTATATAGACTATGCTACCATACTAATAGACATGTCTACAACAACAACAACAACATAGTCTGTCAGTCCCAAGCAAGTTGGGGTAGGCTAGAGTTGAATCCCACCAAGAGCTCCTGGTCACGGTTAAGGCACTTCAATAGTTACTTTTCAAGCACTCTTATTCAAACATAGATCTCTAAGTATATCCCAAGCTTTCAAATCTCTTTTTTATTGTCTCCACCCATGTCAATTTCGGTCTTCCTCTACCTCTCCTCACATTATTAGCTTGTGTGGGGGTATGGCCCCCGGTATCCTCAAGACAAGACATGGGCCGCACCATCAGAGATGGCCCGGCCCATAAGATCGGGGCGTGCACGGCAAGATTACAAGTTGTACTAGATATTGTAATAGTACCAAATAGGATATTTTACTTGTAACCCTCCTCCTCCAGACTATATAAGGAGAGACAGGGGACCCCCTCAGGGGACAATCCATCTAGATCATACAGATCATAACAGATCTCACCTCAATCAATACAAATAACAGAGCACAAGACGTGGGGTTTCGCATACACTTTGGCGGCTGAACTCTATAAATCTTGTGTCTTGTGTCTCTCAGAACCATCCGTTCCCGATTACGCGCATCTCTCCTACCGATAATCTACCACCACGGGCACCCCCTCGGTGGATCGCCGACCATATTTCGTCGACGGTGGGCGCGCCGTAGGGTCCCCTTTAGCGGTTGTGTGCGATCCCAAAGCGAACCAGATGGGATTTTTCTTCCTCAACGTCAACCATTGTGACTTCTCGCTTCTCGTGGCTAAGCGTCCTTCAAAGAACGCGTCATGGCATGATGATCTTGATCGGCCTCGGCGGCGGCGTGCATCAAGAAACTTGTCCCATGCTTTGATCGGATCCGAGATCCCACCGTGATGCCCGCTAGCTTGTAGATATGATCCAATCGACTCATGGCGGACATGCAACCAATCAAAGAAGGCCAAACCAGATGTCTGCGATCAACTTGCATGTATATATGCATCACATGCAAGCTTCACGTACTTGCATCTACGTACATGACCACGCAAGCGGCTACTCACTCGACGATCAAGCGGCGACAAGCAAGCAAGAGTTCCGAGTCCGACGAACACGTAACTCGCACGGCCAGATCGACTCCAGCTTGAAACCTTCAACATCGTATGCGCCAACCGCCGCAGCCAAGCCGGAGCATCTCATCTCATGACCACAAGATCTCCGACGGCGGTATCATCGCCGAGATGAGATTCCAAGCCATCGAACAAGTTGTCCGAGCCGTTGGCGAGCCGCCGCGGCGACCATCAAGCAAGCCACGTCGAGCCACGGAGCGAGCCACCGAGCGAAGCTCCACCGAAACTCCGACCACGTCGACCACCGTACCACGTCCCGAGCGGCTCTGCCGAGCTCCGACCACCTCGATCACCAGACCACGCCCCGAGCGGCTCTGCCGAGCTCCGACCACCTCGACCACCAGACCACGTCCCGAGCGGCTCCGCCGAGCAACGACCACGTCGACCACCAGACCACGTCTCGAGTGGCTCCGCCGAGCTCCGACCACCAGACCACGTCGCAATGATGATCGCCACGAAGAGCGGCGCTATGACAACCGCGACCAACGTCACAACAGGCCGAAAAGCTCGAGGACCGGACAACTTCATCACCGCCGATCGGATTTCTATCCAAAGATAAGTACCCTTCTAATATTTATGTTTAATATAATTTTTCATTACGACGTTTCTCCACAAATAACGTTTGTCCATTTATACAATCTTAAATATAACATACAGCTATACTTAATGCAAATCATGGACCAGTCATGCTGACGCTCGATGTTTCCAGAAAAGGCCCTGTCTCCGGCTCCTCCCTACACGTGCGAGCTGCGTCGCCTCTGCGTTATGGGTGGTGGCGGCACGCTTCTTAGTGACGCTTTGTTCTTCCTACACGTGCAGGCTCCGCGCCCCGCGTTATGGTTAACGGGCTAGCTAGGGCTGGAGGCTCAGCTACATACTAACTAGTCGGACGATTTATATTAAGTATAAACACAAACTTCACATTAACACTGATGTTTACAAAGCACCAACTACTTTATCACATCATGCTCATTTGCAAACGACTGCTGAGCGTTATTTCTTCATCGCTGATTTTTCTCCATAATTTATTATTTTGTACATCATGTACTACCATTCTACATATTTATATTGCAGAATCTCGAGCTACGCCGGGACTTCCGCCGCCGCCCCTCAACTCGTGCTCGGGGATCGCTGGACGACTCTCCCACCACGGCTCGTGGACTCTGCCGCTCGCCCCTCGACCTGTGCTCGGGGACTGCCTCGACCACTCTCCGACCACAACTCGGGGACTTTGTGTCTCAACTACATGCGACTAGCGACTCGCATACAGTTGGGATATTCTAACTCAACCAACAAAACCGACCACCATTCCTTCCCTCGGGTTTTTGGAGCAGCCCTCTCTCTGGTTCCTCCCAACGCAGCGCATGGGATCTCGCTTTCTCTCGCTACGGTGATCGGCGAGGTCCTCTCTGGTTTGACTTGTGTGTGTCTCACGTGTGCAGAAAGCACGCACCTCACACTCCGACCATAGGGCAAACCAGGGCCATACAAACCTTTCAGGATGACGTGTCGACTAAACTGGTACAACTAAACAGAACGCTAACATGTTCTCACTTAGTTACACCAACATGATATTCAAGCTTAAATACGTTTTCTACAAAACAAACAAGCTTATGCAAATATACAGTTACGTTATTACAAGCTTGCCTAAAAGGGTCCAAGTTTACAATAACACAACTACATCTTCTTCCACAGCTATAGCCTATACTATTGGCTAGTTGGGTCACGCGGCACCTGCTGTTCGCCAGGCCTGACATCATGCTCGGGTCTCGGGGACTCTGGAATTGATCGAGCTGAAGAAGATGGCCCCGTCGATGCCTGGCTGGTCGAGACCGCAGGCTTCGCCAGTTGGCTTGAAGATGACGGCGCTCCCAGCTGACTTGTTGATGCCGCCTTTGTGCTCGGGGACTTTGCGTCTCAACTACAAGCGACTGGCGACTCGCATACAGTTGGGATATTCTTTCTCGTTTAGACCTTGCTACAAGGCTCATACCTCGCTTTCCAGCAAGCTCGGAGACTACATCGGTACGATGCACCTGCCGGCAGTGCATCTTGTATCGCCTGTGTCTGACGATTGGATTCTCAACTTAATCGAATTTTTTTTAGACCACGCACCACGTGCCTCGCCACTTACTACCGTGCTCGGGGACTAAGTGGGCACACTTCACCTTACGGTGAATGTGCTCGCTCTGATGGTTCAAACACCCCCGATTCTACAAGGACGACGGTGTCTCTTTTTGACTCAGAGTCAAAGTGGGCACACTTCGAGGGAAATATTTTTCAAATTTTATCTTGAGCCCCTTACATCCTTCTGGCAAGCTCAAGACGACGCTACTCGAAGGATACAAGGCGCTCGGGGACTAGCTGTGGGGGTATGGCCCCCGGTATCCTCAAGGCAACACATGAGCCGCACCATCAGAGATGGCCTGACCCATAAGATCGAGGCGTGCACGGCAAGATTACAAGTTGTACTAGATATTGTAATAGTACCAAATATGATATTTTACTTGTAACCCTCCTCCTCCAGACTATATAAGGAGAGACAGGGGACCCCCTCAGGGGACAATCCATCTAGATCATACAGATCATAACAGATCTCACCTCAATCAATACAAATAACAGAGCACAGGACGTAGGGTTTTACGCCACACTGGCGGCCTGAACCTATATAAATCTTGTGTCTTGTGTCTCTGTAACCATCTGGTTCCTGATTACGCGCATCCTACCGATAATCTACCACCACGGGCACCCCCCTCGGTGGACTGCCGACCATATTTCGTCGACAGTGGCGCGCCAGGTAGGGGTCCCCTTTTAGGGTTGTGTGTGCTGATCCCAGGCGAACCAGATGGGAATTTTCTTCCTCAACGTCAACCGCTGTGACTCGGCTT